CATGCTAGGCAGAAGAGAAAGACCAACATTTTTTGGAAGATGGCCATCATTTGATATTCAACTAAAAACATATCATTAAAACCTAATATATTCATTAAATCCATGATAGAAACCATCCACTATTAGGTACTTGCTCAGAGCAATGCAAGGCCACAATTTTCATAAATCAATGTAAAAATTGAATACTTACGTTGACTAGGTTAAAATTACTTTCCCTGGGCTGAACTTCTCCACTGCTTGTTAGGAAGGGAGCTACCTACATTCCGATCAGTCAAATGCCTGTTGCAAAAGGTCAGGGCAAAAGCTGACATATGGCCTGCTTATTATCAAAGAGCTGACAGGAAACCAAGACATCTGAAATCAACAAGCCAAGCAGCATCCTTTCAAAACAACATTGAAAAGTTTTCTGAGAAGCTTATGACCTTGGCATCCCATCTTTACCAAAGTGAGCATCATAAGGACAGAACAAGTCAAAGATAAAAGCATTAACCGTAACAGATAAGGCAAAATCTCTAAAAGGGACATGGTCACACCAGCAGCATTCTTTACTGGAAGATTACCTACTGAATAAGTTTGATCATATATGGGTTATGGAAAACTGTAATTTAATCATGTTTCTCATGACCTGCTTCAACTTTATCTGATGTCAATGTGTCAGTGCAGGGTAGATGGAAAAGTAGGTAGCCACTAGCCCCGCAACCTGTAGAATTGCTGAGAAATTGCGCCACATTGTCGACTGTCAATTTGCCGCATCACGTAAGATTCAATGATAGATCACTTCAAAAACATAGCATTAAATAATAGATTAGCAGCATATTGATATCCAGTTCGGTGGGTGAAAATGGACATTGACATGAATGGACTGACCTGATGGCGAAAAGTCTGGACCAGCCATGCTCCAAGCGCCTCTTCCGGGGAACTCTTTGTGCATGAAGAAACGTTGTTGGCAACCCCAACAAAACTTCAACAGCTAATAACGCTGAGCTGATCAGTGAGATATGTCTAATTATTTTGATATATTCACTATCGAAAAACACCTGTCGTTGTTTACAACTGCGCCGTAAACGCCGCAAACGTCTAACATAGTCGAAATAATCAGCTGACTGCGCTTCCTGAGCGGCAAGTGCCGACATCTAGTGTCAAGATATAAAAGCTAAAGTCTGGCAGCTCGACGATCTTCAGTTGCTGGACTGCAATGCAAGAATATGAATAAACCACCAAAGTAAGGGTGTCTGTCTAGTGTCTAGTGTCTACTCTCTGGCACAGCCAGTGGCGGATCCAAGGGGGGGGGGTCATATGGGTACTGGCCCCCTTGGGGCCCATGGGGCACCACAGGCCTGTCAGGGGCACCACCGGTCTATCAGGGGTATCACAGTCCTGACAGGGGCACCACAGGCCCGCCAGGGGCACCACAGGCGGCACAGGCCTAGCAGCCGCAGGGACACCTCGGGCCTGGTGCCCCTGGACCCTGACACTTGACAGGACTGCGACGTGTCCCTGACAGACCTGTGGTGCCCATGGCAGGCCTGTGGTGCCCCTGCTAGGCCTGCTGGTGCCCCTGACAGGCTTGTGGTGCCCCTGGAAGGACTGTGGTGCCTCTGGCAGGCCTGTGGTGCCCTTGTCAGGCCTGTGGTGCCCTTGTCAGGCCTGTGGTGCCCCTGGCAAGCCTGTGGTGCCCTTGCTAGGTCGCTGGTACCCCTGGGCCCTGACAGGACGGTGGTGCCCCTGACAAGCCTGAAGTGCCCCCCGACAGGCCCGTGGTGTCCCTGACAGGCCCAAGGTGCCCCTGCGAGGCGGCGCGCCAAGGCTGGTGGTGCCCCTGGCAGGTATATGGTGCCCCTGGCAGGTATGTGGTGCCCCTGGCAGACCTGTGTTGACTGGTGCCCTGCTAGGCCGCTGGTGCCCCTGCTAGGCCGCTGGTGCCCCTGCTAGGCCGCTGGTGCCCCTGCTAGGCCGCTGGTGCCCCTGCTAGGCTGCTGTTGCCCCTGGAAGGACTGTGGTGCCCCTGACAAGTCTGACGCGCCAACGACAGGCCCTTTAGACACCAGGGCCAAGTTCGTCGGACTGACAATGATTCGCTTACCTGATAACGTTCCTGGTGAGAACTCAGTGTCCACAACATATATACACATAGCATATTCACACATAATTGCTTACAATTGGCAAATTTGGTTGTGGCTAAGACACTGACCAAAAAGTAAAATTGTTAAAAAACAAACAAACAAAAAACTGAAAATGGGGCACCACCAAAATTAAGTGGCCGAAATACGTTGAGGTTTTAATTTGGGTATAGGTAGGGGCTTCGATTTCGATTCATGACCCTCCCCTTGGAGTTTTCCTGGATCCGCTCCTGGCCGCACAGCAGCTCGTATCTCGAATGTCGCCGCCCGTGGATGACATGAAAGCAGGTCGTAAAGTTCTCCTCTTTGAGGCATTACGCCCCCACGGCTGATGTAGATTGCCTGACGAAAGTTTGAATTAGATGACACGCCGCGTCGCCGTTCCATCGTTTCCATCAGTCAAATCCAATTCCTCCATGCCCCACCCCACCCCGTTCGTTCCGGGATGGACGGGCATCCCCCGCCCCCTGCTCAGCGTCCCCAATTATTACTCAGTTATTTACCATCTAAATCACGGCCGAATCTACTCTTCAGCATTCGTCCTCCAAATATCCAGGGCGAGCTCGTCCTAATGTTTCAGCACACCGTTCTGTTCCAGGCCAGCACTCATCTCACCCAGAAAACTGGAGAACGATTCCAAATGTAGCATATCATCCCGGGTAGCTGTTTTAGAGGGTGGGATAGTCTCTCTTCACAGATCACCGCCAGACACTGCTACCCCGGCGATGGGATGGGACCAGACGCTGCGAGTTGCGACGCACCACACCAGCCACTAGTAGGTAACTGCCTAAGTGGTCGTTGTAGCCATACTTATCACCTATACGACCCGCCCTCTTGGCCTTACTGTGCGGTCTTCCAGGGTTCTAAACGGGCCTGGATAGTTAAATAGGTACTCGTGTAGCATAGACCACACTCGTGTATCATATGATTTTGAGCGAGAGATGAGAATGCCTAATGTCCGTTTTTACGACGGGCTATCCGGCGAGTGCACCTAATTTGACCAAATCTGCACCTAATCTCTTTTACAGCATTTTTTAGCACCTGAAACATTGCATAAAAAGGCAGCAGTATTTGGTCCGGTCATCAGGGGTCGCTGCTATAAGGTCAACTCGGTTCCAATTTTCACCTTTTTGTTTAATACAGGGCACAGGCCCTCAACATCGCATTAAGTGTAGTAAAGCATGTCTGCTCATTACTTGAACGCTGATTCGTCACCTCTGACCTTCCTCAAAAGATAAGTTCGACCTTTGCAGTAGGGGATTGTTGAAGATGAACCTCGACAAAAAAGATTAGCAACCAACTGCAAAAGCCGGCAAACCATTTCACATCCGGTGTACGAATTCGGCCTTGGTCGGGTCACCTAAGGTCCGGTCACCATGCAAAGTAACCCTGCCTATATTTCAAACCATACCCAAATGTATAAGGCTTCATTTATACTACCAATCATCTCCCTTCGGTCCTTCAATCGCAGGGTCAACTAAGGAGCTAATTAGGATAATAAAATCATGGTGATGGCCCGATTTATTCGTCATTCCGAGCAGTGACGTTCGTTTTGTTGTGTGAAACTATTATGCGGGACAGAGCGGCTGGGGGTCCGACCGACTGAAACGCGTCAGAACTGTTTGCCGTTTACATATAATAACCGTTTACACCTAAGGATTTCTCATATAGGTAGCGTCCGCTCCTCGGCTCTGTCGTCACGAGTAGACTGTTGTAGGCCGTGTGCTCCAAGTTATATTAACAATTAACATACAACCGATACCAATTGAGTGTCGATGACCAAGGTCGGAGGGATCCATTAGATACACTGGATGTTATTTTCATGGTTTAGTTTTAGGACGGTGGGAGTCCTTTTTCCACACAGCTCGTCACCGTTACTTGTATGTGAATTAACTTTTCGGCAGATCAAACTTCAATATTAATAAAGATATTCATTCAATTGTTTTGAAATAGTAGCTGATTGACCGCCAGACAGATATTCGTAATTCGGCAGATATTTGAAAAAGGCCCCTTCGATTTCGCTCAAAATCGGCAACTACCTGTAACCTGCATGCATAGCAATTTGAGCCCGTATCATAACTCTAACGGGATTTTGCCGGGCATAAAGAAATGTAGGCTTTACCGTCGAATACGACTAAAGCATAAAAAATGACGATCCCTTCAATTTCATTCATCCTTGTTATATCAATCGTAACGGAATTTTGCCGGGCATCCGATTATTTGGAAATATTAAATGAGCCTGATAATAGATCGTTAGACAGAGACCTCCAGCGCGACGTGGTGGCGGCCTCAGCGCCAGCTACGCGGCCCAAAGAGCCGTATGGCTACGGTACCGTTCCAGCGTTAGCCGAGAGACATAGATCAGCAGGGAGTTGAATGGTACACAAATCTCCATTTCGATAAATTCGACACCAATAATGGTCTTGCTGCGAACCATCCATATAACTTATGCGAGCGATCCCACGATTTACCAAGTTCGGTTAATAGGCGCCCCACTGCCGCCAGTGACACCTACTGGCGGTCCATCAAGGCTCCAATTCATTCAAGACGGGTCGGGCGAGACCGGATTCAAATAGTTCGACCTATCCTCTATCGCATTTCCTTCATCTCAGTCCCCCGCGCTTTAATGCAAATTTGAATCGCTCACTGCCACTTGCTCAGACAATTCAGACCCCCGGTAAACCTTTCAGTCCCAGAACAACGACTGACGACGCTGTCGTTCCATTCCTCAATCATCTCAGCCGACATCACCCGACCACTCATTCATTGCGTCTCTCCTACTCCTCACTTCCTAATGTCTCAACTCGCACACAGCCCCGTGCCTTATAACCCACCTCCTCACAGCTCTGTAACTCAACTCGGCAACTCCAAACGTCTCCGTCGCTGTCTGGTGGCATGTATTGGACAACTTTGGGGGCGGTGGCGCGGTACAGAGTGAGCCGACTACTTCTTGTAGCCGCAGCTGGAGCGCCGGCCGCGGGCGCGCTCAAACTTCCTGCCCTTGCTGCGCACGAACGGCTTGGTATGGCTGTGCGGCACGCCTGGCGCCAGGCCGAAGTGCTTGTTGGCCTCGCGGGCCGTGCGGCGACCCTGTGGACAGAGAGAGGGGGCGTCAGGGTGGTGATCCCTCTGTCTCCTGGGACGAGGACAACGTGTGACAGTGAGCTCGTAATTTTCATACACTCAGAAGGTAGGTGATGTGAAAAATGAGATCAAATCACGGCCTATGAAATCATTGTACACTAGAAGTTAAAAAAATGTGAGACGAGAGAACGAACTAGTCAGCGTCTACGGCCGTAAACTAGAGGTAATCAGAACATTTAAGTCATGACACTGAGAGAATGCGTCCTTACTCTCAATTACGTCAATAAGTAACCGCAAAGGATCGAGGGGCTATGCAGCCGCTGTAAGCCAATGAAATGTAAGAACAACACAGGCACATCAATACAGACAATCTCATCAAACCAGTCACCTCCTTTAAAAGTGTTCACGTAACAACCAACTAACCGAGGCGACATACACAGACGTTTTTCCAAGAGATTCACAATTTCCCCTGCATCAATGGTAATCACCGACCTCAGACATTACCGGGACCAGACTCGGGCTGCAGCGAGGTGGAACACGAGAACACGGACACCAACGTATAACGTAGAACCAGACATTGGATCACGCAATCATAACGTACTGACAACTTGTCAACCTGACCCCATCTCATTGTGCTGATCATACGATTGATCCCATCGCATCGCAATAATCGTTTTCGTATCGTACCCGATCTACAGCATACGCCACCGTACGACATTTGATAGTAACATTCTTATTCGCATCGTGATACAATATTAAGTCTGCTCGTGCCTAAAATATACCAGATCCAGCCGTACCATGTCTAAAGTTAGATCGTATCGCATCGCAGGTGATCCATCGTTTGTAAATGTATCGTATCGTACCTTTTCAAGCATTCGGTGAACAAAGGGGAAAGAATCCGAACGTATTCGCCTCTCGTACCTGCATGAGCACCGTGTTCTTGCCGGTGGGCGCGCGCAGTGCCAGCTGGTCAAAGGTGATGATCTCACCGCCCGCCTTGAGGATGCGCGCGCGCGCCTGCTCTGTCACGCGCAGGGCGCACACCTGTCGGAGGAGGGGGGGGGGGGGGCGGGCAGGGTCAGCAGGGGAGACAACACACGGCAGGGAGGGAGAGTAACACCGGCGACACGCCGATGGTAACTGAAGATAGAGATGTTGGAAAAAATAAACGCACCATTTAACAGTCAAAACTAAACCTTAAGCATGATTTGCTAGACCAAATAAATATGCCCATCTGTAATAAGTTCATTCTCTCGTCATGACTGACTACTGTCATGACTATATGAGAGAATATGGATTCCCATGTGCGGACGAGGACGAACGGCGCGAAGGGACAAACGAGCTGACTGTCACACTTTGTTTCGACCTTTCCTCTCATTTTAACAGAATTGAGATGAAACCCAGCACAGCTTGTCCATCTTACTCCCCCTCTCCCCTCAGCGCTTACCGACAACCCTTTCCAGTGCAACACGTCAAGAGGTTACCGGGTAACCAGTGCTCTCTATTGTGTTTATTTATTTCATAGGGCATAGGGGTGCGCCGACTGATGGTTCTTTACCAACCACAAACGTAAGCGTTTTAAAGTGTGTCGACAGCAGTGTCATTCATTACGCGCCCGTACCTGGCACCTTCCCACTCGTCTCATTCTTCCTCCCTCTTCCCTACCCGTCCTCCTCTCTTCCCATCCGTCCCTTCTCCCCTCTCGGAGTGCCACTCACCGTCATCTTGGGCACCTTGAAGATGCGCACGTCGTTGGTGACGGTGCCCACCACCACCACGATGCGGTTCTCGCGCTCCGGCTTGTTCATGAAGCGGATGATGCGCGCCAGCGACATCGGCGGACGGTGGATCTTGCTCATGAACAGACGCTTCAGGATGATGCGGTTGAACTTGGCGCCCGTGCGGCGCGCCAGGAACCGGTACAGCTGTGTGAGGGAACGGGCCGGTCAGTAGGCGTTTTATATCAGAGGTTAGGTTCGAAAAAGGGCACTTGGTATTATGGTGTATCTTAGCTTACTCATTTTGTTTTATGGGGATGTTCTAAAAGCCAATACATTAACAAGTTGTTATACACTAGAAAAAATAAGAACAAAATGTTTCTCAAATGAAGAAATCAGTCCTAAACATGAGCTTAACATTGATCCTTTTTTTGCCAACAGCATCAAAAATAGATCCCCCAAATATCACCTGATTCACTAAAAATAACGCCCATCCTGCTGCTCAGGCAGACATATTTTTCTATCTATTTATTAAACAAAAGATAGTGTTTCAGAAAAATAGGCTGATTTTATATGAAGATGTAGAAAACTTATTCTCACTTGGTAAGTCACGTTCACTTGGTATTGTCATGTTGATTACATATCCTCAAAGTTTGGAGTCATATTTCAGTATGTTGTACAGTCTGTCTTAAAAGTACCGCGCAAAGTGACGGTAGATCCATCAAGCCTGACCGAGGAAGGGCCTGCTATAATTTGAAAGTCACCGAACCAATGGAGCTGGGGAATGGACGAGGATGTCCATTGCTTCGGTGACTCAAATTTGGCAGTCCTTCATCGGTCAGGCTTGATGGATCCACCGTCACTTTGCGCGGTACTTTTAAGACAGACTGTACAGGAGGCTGAGCACTGTTTCAGGACCAATCTTTTCCTTGTTAATTTATCCACCAATCATAAAATTTTCTGGGTGGAACAATTCATTTTCATTTCAGGTGGTCCAAGTGGTTTTCAGGCCAGGGGCTGGATACGTACCAGATCGGAATGACTTTTTGATGACTGGAATCATATTCTCCGTGTCAGATTTCATGAGAATTGCCTTCAAAACGCCGAAATTCCTCGTACTTACCCCCAAAACGAAATTTTATAGGTTCTCCTGTATCAGTGTTAGTTACACTGCAGCTACACACAGCATGGCTTTATGCGCCATAGATAGCCTCGCCTTCGCCAATTATGTATAAGATTAGAGATGAAAGTGCACTAAAATGCTGCACAAACCATCAAGAAACATGTTTTGCCCAGTACTCAGGGCGTAGCAGTGCAGTGCCAAAGGCAATGCCTTAGGAGAGATTACAGGCAATGTTATGTCACATATTTTTAGGTTAAGTGGTTGTGCATTAAGCTTCAGGCTTTAGTTCTATGAGGCCATACCTATTTTATTTTCAATGTATTGGAATTCTAGATCACTCTATAACGTTACAGTTCTGCTGCACCTCGCACAGACAGCGCATAAAAATCTTAACGGCATCGGTAGTGTAATTTCGATGTTGGAAATACCGTTGGGATATTTGTGATAAATTGAAAGTTAATGCCCATTTACTCATATTCATGATATTTTCCATGTTATTTAGCATCGAGAAGTAGATTCTGGCAATATGAATTATGTCTTTTGTTAGGTAAAGGTCTAGACCCTCACTGGTTTTCACTGGTTTTCCTTTGAACATGACCCTATAAGAGGCAGTGCTGTCAAAAGATTATAAATTGGAACACTCCAATTCTAGATTATTTCCCTGGTAAGTCACCAACTGATATTTGAATTCAGGATGGCAAATAGTGTAAGAATCTGCAAAATGTATGCTGATGCTTGAAAAATAGATCAACTTCCGGAACATCTAACGAGAACTGCATATACTACAAAGTGCAAATTTAATAATTCTGTAGCAAAAAACATCTTACTTAACCAGCAGACAAAACACTTACCTTAACCAGCAGACGAAGGTAAACATCCTGAGACTTCGGCTCAGTGCGCCGACTTTTGCGGTCGTGTTTATGACAAAGATCGATGCCCTGTAACAAAAAACCACGAGTCAAGCAACAGAGGATAGAGGAAGGTTCAATTTGTTGAGAACATGTTCATTATATATCACTACAAATACACAATATTGCAATGTTTACACACCATCCTGCACCAATCTGTGTAGTTTCACAGGAAAAGAAGTTTCGGCAGCGCCGCCTTTTACATTTAATAAAATATTGCTAGGCCTTTCCTGATACAATTTTGTTTTTGTCAGATATCACCAAGTTTTATGGTTATTCAATTAAATAAAATATAAAGAATCTCATTTTTGAAAGGTAAAATTCTATTCAATAGAACCATTCGCATTTTGAACATATACATTTTAGCAACGATATTTTGGGCATCTAAATCGAGGCAAAAAAAACATTTTTTGTTTCTTTTGGTCTTCTCAAAAGCTATCAAAAGCGAGGGTCTTCTTGAAAAATAAAAACTGGAAAACAATACAAGATTTCTATGATTGTACATATCCTATTTTATTTTAAAAACTTGATGATTGCTTGTCTATAACCCGGTTTACATAGCATATTTGACGAGGCTCTAGCTCGTTAATTTGGCGATAATTTCGATGCAGTGTTCTTCAAATATTTAGAGGGGATCATTTTGTAAATTGTTATGCACCATTGGCATCTTTTGCAACATCACGGACGGAGATATAAGCTTGCAACAAACCCTATGTAAACCGGGTTTATGTATCTGGCGCACTTCAGACATTTGACAAGACGATCGATTTCTGATCATAAGGGTAAGAGAGCTATTACAAAACAAGGTATTTTGGACCTAATGAGCATGTTTCATTACTGCTTCAAGTACAACACTCACTGAACTCTATAATGTGGAATGCGCATTGGCCGCCAGATGGTGTCCAACGGTGCCGCCATGTTGCGCAGACCAGGAAGCGGCCGCCGCCTGTGTTGGGGAATAGGGAATTCGGGACCTCGATTTACGTTTGCGGTCGCTGCATCCGTTACGTTCAAGCTATGTGGACACGGAACCCGGCATCTTACGCAGAATTGAGTGGAGAATAAGATGAAATCCTAAAAACTTCTCAGATACAAGGAACTAATACGTTAAGCCCTTATAAGTCAATGGGGAAATATGAAAATTGCTATTTTGGCGCCGAGAATGATCTGAAACTATCTCAAGCATATAAAATCGTGATTTCATGCACTCCTTGCAAGGTTCTATGCTTCATCTTTGCATTGTTGCCCTTGCGTGACGTCATTTGTGACGTCACAAGGGTCACAGTTTTTCTTCAATAACTCCCGATCAAATTGAGCTAGCGAGTCGGGAAAGCCACCAATGGACTCAGGAAGACCTGCCGAATCGAATGATATGCGACATGACCTCTTTCGACCAACTTCGTGACCTGGGGGTGCTGACCTGACCTTGACCTGAGGTCAACACCCTAAGTTGACCTGACCCGAACAAAAAGTATATCACTCGATGCGCCTGAGCTAGTTGAACACGATGATGCCAAAATCGCGGCTCTACGGCCATTTTTGGCGAAGTTATTTACCAAAAACCGAACCCGTGCCTTAGATCACTTGACCTGACCTCAGAGGTCACCGGTTGACCCGGGACCTTTACAGTGGGTTCCTACCAGTCACTCTGCATTATCCTTTGTCGCAAACGACCAATTTACCGCTTAATTCTAGTTTAATTAGCGGCGCATTAGCGAGGTGGGTTCAATCAACCCCCTCGGCCGGGGCAAATGTAGGTCCGGCGAGTGAATTTGAGGAATTCTGAAGATACGATCGTGTTCCCCACTCAATTCTGCGTAAGATACCGGGTTCCGTATCTACGTAACTTGAACGTAACGGATGCGGCGGCCGCAAACGTAAATCGAGGTCCCGAATTCCCTATTCCTCAACACAGGCGGCAGCCGTTTCTTGGTCTGCGCAATATGGCCGCCACCGTTAGACACTACGGCCAATAGGGTTCAAGCGGCATTGCTCCCCTGTGACAACACTGGACACACACAAGAGCCCTGATCGGCGGCCGGCTAGTACTCTTGCCCGCGCTCACATACGTGCACGTTACCCCGGCAACGGGCTATTGACCAATGAGAAGCGAGAAAAGTGTTACGTCACTGCGATTTTTCATATACCTGTGCCCCCCGGACGTGACGTAGTGTGCTCGCGCGCGTGCAGGGTCTCTGCGATCGAAAAAGAGCGCTAGCAGCGCGCCACTCGACGCCGCAATTGTCAAAAGCGGCGTGTTAGTGTGCTTTATTATGAATGACTAGAATACAGGTTTGCGACTTACGCATACGTTTTAGAGTTGAGGTTTGTGACTTACGCATGTATGTTTTAAGAAGAGTCGGTCGGTCCCTACGCAGTAGATAGGTCAGTAAAGTAGATACCCTACGCCTGTGATATCCCTACACTACCCTACTACTGCACTAACCTACCACTCCCCCTACCCTACCCCTACACTACTCAACCCAGCTCTACCCCTACACTAACCCTACACAACCCCCTTCCTACACTACCCCTGTCCCCTACACTGCCGCTACTTTACCCCTGCCCCAACCCCTGTCACTACTTAACCTCAACCCTACCCTACCCTAGCCTACCCTACCCCTGCCCCACCCCCAACCCCTGCCAGTACTTAACCTCAGCCCTACCCTACCCTACCCTACCTTCCCTACCTACCCAACCCCACCCCACCTTACCCTACCCTACCCTACCCTACTCTATCATACCCTACATATACTATCCCATACCCTACCCATACTCTTTTCATACTCGACCGAAGCGGTGTTCCAAATTTGAGTGCAGTCGGCTTATTAGTTCTTGAGATATAAAAGCGGTCCCTACACGTGCGTACACGCTAGTTGAAACTCCAGATGACTTGCGCCAGCCACCTGTCTAAATGGTTCCCAACAGTGTGCAAAATTTGAGCGACATCGACCCAGCCGTTTCTTAGATGGAGAAGCGGACCCTGTCACATCACGTGTACACGTGCAGTCGGTCCACCACATCTGTAACACACCAGTAAAACGCCTTTTGGGCGAAGAACGAGCGAGCGAGATAGTGAGCCCTGCACGTGCGCAAGGGCAAGAGGGTACTTCCAACGGGCTGGTGCAAAGCACCCTTCTAACCGGTCGCTAGCGGTGTGCCAAATTTGAACGCAATCGGCCCAGCCGTTCCTGAGATCTGGAAGCGGCATTCTGCACGTGCGCACGTGCAAGCGGGGTCCAAAGTCCAAACTGACTTTTGCACGGCACACTACTAACTGGTCCCCAACCGTGTACCAAATTTGAGCGCAATCGGCCCAGCCGTTCTCGAGATCTGGGAGCGCCCCTGCACGTGCGCACGTGCTGTAGCACCCCAACTTTAACACATGCAGATGAATTATCTGATTGAGACCTAACTGTGTACCGAGTTTCAAATCAATCAGCCCAACCGTTGTGCCGTTATTGAGGTTGCAATTTTGGGGGTTCTTAAAAAAATGTCCAACTTTACCACGCGCCACGTGCGGTGGTTCGCAAGAACGCAGGGTGGCCATCACACCACAAAACTTTTACGTCCAAGTGACATTCAGTAAAGAAGACCGCTTGTCAATCGGATGTCCCGTTCCTGAGAAATTAGCTTTTGAAGAGCGTCCCCACGGCCGGCCGGCCGGCCGGCCGCTCATACTCAGGATTTTCCCTTAATTCAGTATGAACTCGCTCGCTCGCTGCGCTCGCTCGCTCGTAATGACCATGCATCGCCTGGTGAGTGGTCAGTGCCCTGCCTACCGACAATCCAAGTTTCAGAGATATCGGCCCAATGACGTCTAAGTTATTGCTGTTTCAAAGTTATGTTATTTGCTGTTGAGCGTTTATGTTAACTGTTTTCGAATTCCCCTAGGCGAGAGGTGGATTGCGGCCTTGCTGTGCTGGCTATCATATGGGCGATGAGCCATCGATCGGATTTTGCCGGAAAATACGTCTAACGTTAAATAGTATAACGTCACGTTCCACCACCTCGTGAATCTATGTATAGCACACTCTTAGCAATTGCCGGCCGGCCGGATGCTACCTTTGGACAAAGGCGAGCGAAAAAGATCGACGCTGACCAGTCGCGAACTCCCCGCCTCCGGATTTCCAGCCGGACACCCAATCCACTCGGCCACGCGGCCAGTGGACGAGCGGCGAGTATTACGCGTATTCAAAGCACACGGTGGTATTTCCGTCATCCGGCCGCCGCGTTCAATGCCCGCCGCCGCTACGACGGAAAACGTGCGTCAAAAACGGTACAATCATTGCGCTGTTTCTTAGAGCCCTTGTTGACTTTTTGAAAATATTTTGGGTGTGTAGTGATCAGAAAAGAATGCTCTTTAAAGCAATGGTAGATTTATAGCCATAGGTCTATGTTATCAGTACATTATGACGGTGGAAAGATGATGAGACCGCTTAAACGTAAAACTTGCAATTTGTAAGCGCTTAATTATAAAGATGTGCGAGTGAATGGCCGAAAATCAATGTTTTCTGAAAAGATCCGATCCTATTGTAGTCTGTGAACTGCATCCCGTGTCGATCAAATGCACCGTTTTCAAATGCCAATGCATGTCCTGAAAAGTATAAAAAACGGCCCATTTTTCAAGTTTATAGGCCATTTCTTTGCGTGTGGTGAGTGTTTTACAAAACACTGTGTTGCATACGCTAGATCTGTTTCTGCTCTATCGATCGGTGGTAACCTCGTGTCGCTGCGACCCTCCGTTGCCGAGATATAGGCAAAAGAGTCGAACCGTTTTTTGGGACGGTGGCCGTCTTTCGCTCGTAATGTTAAACCAATGGCGATCGTACCTCTTTTTTAAGACGCTGCCGACGACGTCCCCGTCGACGGATGGCAACCAAATTTTGATACGATGGTTAGCCCCACCTAAATTTTGTGCCCACAAAATTTCACGCCGCTGCGCTGCACCGTTCCGGCGCTAGACACGCAAATAGCGATGACAGGTTTCGGCTGTGACCGACAACTTCAAATTCATAATATAGGGGGACTAGATGGCATGTTTTGCGCTATAACTTTATGTTTTGATTAAATTGGTTTTACGGATGCATTATGCTGGGTTAAAAATCGTTTTATTTGTATTATTTGGGTCCCTACCCATGCCCTACCCTGCCCATACCCTACCTGCCTATACCCTACCCTGCCCATATCCAACTTCTATCCTATCCTACCCATCACCTAACCATACTCTGCCCTGCCCATACCCTGCCCTGCCCATACTATAACCC